GTCAGAACTTCTCCTTCCTCCTCTCCTTACTCACCGCGCTGATGAGCACAGGGAGGTAGCAAGGTATAAAGAGAAAAGCACACATTTTGGAATCACGTTTGGGTTCAAAGTCTGGCTTCACTTCTTAATTGTGTGCTGCTGCTGCTGCTAAGTCGCTTCAGTCACGTCCGACTCTGTGCGACCCCATAGATGGTAGCCCACCAGGCTCCCCTGTCCCTGGGATTCTCCAGGCAAGAACACTGGAGCTGGTTGCCATTTCCTTCTCCAATGCATGAAAGTGAAAAATGAAAGTGAAGTCGCTCAGTCATGTCCGACTCGTCATGACCCCATAGACTGCAGCCTACCAGGCTCCTCCGTCCATGAGATTTTCCAGGCAAGAGTACTGGAGTGGGGTGCCATTGCCTTCTCTGGACTTAATTGTATATGTATGTTATTTCTCTGAGCCTCAGTTTTCTCTTCTGAAAGTGAATATAATACCCATCTCATAGAAACATGAGGATTAAATAAGATAAATGTGTGAAGATAAATGTGTGTAGAGAGCAAGTGCAGCCCTTGGCATGCAGTAGGTATCCTCCCACTTCCCTCTTAGGAGATTTCCTATGACCCAAGCCCTTCACAGGGGGCCTGCAGCCCCCTTATACAGCTCAAATATCATTCTCCATCCCAGCCCTGTCTTTCTCTTTCTGTCCTAAATGTCCATTCATCCTCCAATCTCCATCAGCCCTGCTTCCCAAGCCCTCTAATCTTTAGTCAATAACTGCTCTTGAGTTGTGACACCAAACAATACACGGAGCTCCAGGCTGGTGGGGGAGGCAGGCGGTGAACAAGTCATGACAGGTATGGTGGGAGTTTTATAGGAGACAAAACCACACACATGTGTCCTCAGTTTGACCCATTAAGCTGAGACTGAGTCTCCCCTTCCTTCTGCCTGTTCCTCCACTCTGTTCCCTATAGGTCTGTCTCACCTCCCTTCCCTCCTCTTTGTATCTGTCTCCCAGCTACCCCCTGCCTCATACATGGCAGCATAGCCTGGTGTTAGGAGAGCAGGCTTCCATATGACAGATTTGGGTTTGATTTCTGACTGTCACTTACTGCCTGTGTGTTCTTGAGCAAGTAACTTTAACTTTCTGGGTTACAGGGCCTTATATGTAAAATGGAGATAATGCCTACCTCACTAGATTACTGTGGTGATTAAATAAAGCACTTAGCAGAGATGATAACCCATAGTGATGTTTTCCTGTCCTTTGATAGTTTTTCTATTTTTATTTCAACTCCATTACCTTGTTGCCCCTCACCTCCCGCCACATTCCCTCATCAACCTCTTTTATTTCTTTTCTGTTCATTTGGGCCCACAGAACGCCCCACCCCTCTGCCATGATCCCTGACCTTGGCCTCTCTCCCCAGGGCTTGTCAGTGCCAGGCCAGCTCCAGTATTGGCAGTCCGGCCCCCTACGGAGCCCATCGCCTCTGCTCCTCTCTGCCTGCGCTGTCTGCTCTCATCACGTCAGCTGAGTAATTCACCCCTTCATACCTCCCCAGCCCCTCTTCCCTCTGTGGCCAGTGCTTTACCCAGCTCCTCAGGCTCAAAAGGGCTCAGTCTGGTTTGAAATGGCTACACAGAAGGTACTTCCGGGGGAGCTGGAAAGCTTTCATCAGAGGCCATCTGAGGTTTCCGCCTGGACATGCCACCCTGTCAGTCTCTTCCTGGGAGAGCTGCTCCTCTCCTACATCAATATTTCCTGTCTCTGCCTCTGTTTCCCGAGTTTGCCGAACACTACAGTCCTTTCAATTCCTGCTAAAATCCCTTTCCCAGCCTCTTGCCCTCCAGCCTGTGGTTCTCCAGGGCAGTCAAGGTTTCCAGAGAAGGGAACTAGAATTTGGGGCAGGTGTGGGTGTTAAGGGTAAAAAAGGAAGGTCAAGAAAGTGAAAAATTACACGCAGACTGAAAGCCATAAGACAACACCACAGGTGTCTACCTTGGGGCTTGTAGGCCCATTTGTTAGTCTTCCCTGGAAGGCAAGAGCCGCACAATACGAATTGACTGGAGCTTGGGACAAGCTATCGATCTAGATCAAGGGCAGTCAAGTTGGCAGATCGTTTGTGTGTGCACGTTGAGCAGGGTGGGGGTGTCCGGACTAATGGGAACAAGGACACATGGAACAGGCCTGGGGGCTGAAGCAGAGCTGCCTCCTCCCACCCCCACACTTCCATCCAAGCCCCCCGCCCCACCAGTGCAGCTATAACTCGGGCTCCTTTCTGCCACAGTAGAGAGAAGCATCTGCCTGCCACAGGACATTCAACAGACCTGATTCTCTTCAGCAGAAAAACCTCCCAGAAAAGCAGGCACCCATGAGGAAAGACCCTGAAAGAAGCCAGCTCAGGAGCACGCGTTGTAAAGAGCCCCAGAAGAGGAGAGTCCCAAGGACTGCAGGCTGTTTCCTGGCAGAGGCGTTTTCCTCCCTCAGCTTGTCCTTCTAAAATCTTGGTTTCAATTCTGCCAGGCAGGAGAGGCTGTCCTTAAGTCTTCTCTGGAGCCTGGGCTGGAGCCTGCTAGTGAGACAGGTCATGCTTCTCTTCTGGACATCCAAGGGTGACTTTAAGGAGGAGAATGCCTGGAGGACATGGGGAGAAGGTGAGAAGGGACAATATGGTGGGAAAAAGCAACCAAGCCTTCTGGAAGTTTCTCATGGCTACTCATCTCTAGTATTCAAGAGCAGGTGGCTTCCAGGAAAGTGTCCGCTGAAAGGCCCTCAGCAGTCTTCCGGGGGTGCTGGAAAGGTAAAGCAGGATGTGCAAGCCCCCACCCCCACTCCCGGAAAGCCTTGGGGCAGCTGGAGGGGAACTGAGGGGAGCAGGTGGCAAGGTTGACAAGGAGCTGCTGACACTGTTGATCCTCTGAGCGCTGAGGCCGTGACACCAGGGGAAGAAACTGTGTTGGAGCTTTTGGAAAGGATAGGTGCCCGGATGCAGAGGGTTGCCAGATATTCTTCCTGGTTTAGGCTAGCATGATCAAGCAAAGGCCAGGCACTGGTAGCAAAGGAGCCAAGACAGGAATGGCACGAAGAGCCGATGAGTAAGAGCCGGCTGTCTTAGGAGGTGAAGAGCAGGGGTTGGTTGGTGCCCTTTCCCCAGAGAGATGGCTCTCGGGTTGGTGCCTGATGTGTCTGCTCTGCCCTTTCTTTGCAGTGGGGAGGAAGGCAGAGAGCCATGAAAGCTCTTCTGCCTGCTTCTGTGTGATATGTTTGATATTGAGTTGTTTAATTAGGAACCAACTAAATGTCAAACATATTGTTACAGCAGTAGGCAATTTGGCATCATACTCTTTCTTACCCCAACTTCTGGGGCTCCGGGGTTCCTGTTTTTTTACTGAACCTATTTTCTCCAGGACCCCTTTGGAAGACTAGTGGCTGCAACCCATGTGGATTTCAATCTTAAACTGGAGGGCTAGTGTGGGAGCAGGAGAGAACTGGAGTCTGGGTACTAAATGTTCCTCTATCTTTCCCTTGTGTCTGCATGCTGAGTCACTTCAGTCATGTCCCACTCTTTGCAACCTCCTGGACTATAGCCTGCCAGGCTCCTCTGTCCATGGGATTCTCCAGGCAAGAATACTGGAGTGGGTTGCCATGCCCTCCTCCAGGGGATCTTCCCAACCCAGGGATCGAACTCGCATCTCCTACTTCCCCTGCACTGGAAAGCGGGTTCTTTACCACTAGTGCCACCTGTGAAGCCTCTTTTCCTTGTACTAGAAGAGAAATGGCTCTGATCTTTTCCTGTCCTTGTGTTTTTCTCCTCCTTATTCAATCTCCCCACCTTATTATCCACTGCTTCCTGTCCCTGGGACTCCTGTTCCCTAAAGCCAATAGTAGGGGTCTTTGGTTTTTCTGTTTTCTTTCAAGAGTCAGCTGATGGTTCTATCTGTGTATTTAGTGATTAGAAACAGGCATTTCAGTCACCCCATTGTTGGAGCCTAGTATTAACACCAGCCATCTATCCTTGACATAATGACTAATGAGCACCATTTATATTTTCCTCCGGGTCACCTTGAACAGTGCCCACCTCTCTCTAGCATATTCTCAGATTGTATGGTGCCTGTGTCGGGGATCAACTACCACCTGTCAGCAGCAAGGCTCCAAGTGGAATGAACACAGCCTGGAGCTAAGCCAGGGAGAACAGAGCTGGTAATGATGATTATGATGACGACTGAGGGCAGTTAAGAAGGGAGCAGAGGGTGAGAAGAGTAGAGAGCAACAAGACCTTGGTCTATGTGGGTATAAAAGTTCTATTTAAAGATCACTATGGGAAAATGGAGGACATGATCCTATCTGGTTTACTCTGTCTCCCACTTTTTTTCTCTGCCCACTGGCCTGAAACTCTGAGATGGCCATCCAAATTCCAACCCTATGCTCTTACTCCATCCCCCTGGTTCTTAAGTGGGGAGGAATAATGTCTCTCTGCCAGTTAGAGACTCTCAAAATAACAGTAATTTGATCTTGGGTTCTGGGGAATTGTCAAGGATCATGGGTGATCTCCCCTCTTCACTGTTGCTCAAGCTCCCTGAATACCAGGAATCAAAAGGTAAAACTCAACCAATGGAATTTGATTAGCATCCAACACAGTCTGGGTGAGAGTAAGGGGAAAGCTGAAGAGAAACTAGGAAAACTAGTCACGCTTTGGGTGAAAACTACCATTCTAGAATTGCCAAAGTACCCTTCTATATTTCAGTGTCCTACCCCTCCCCTTTCCTTGCTCTTTAAAATATGCTTGGAGCTGCCCAGAGTGAGTGGAAAGTTTCAGGGTCAGGGAGAACCCTTTCCCTCCCCCACTTTCCATTGTCTAAAATCAGCCTCAGCTGTTCCCTAATTTTTCTTTGCTGGTGATGTCAGTCCATCAAAGTGTCTCACCCAGTGTTCCCCTGAGAACAATGATGGGGCGGAGGGAGCTGGAAAGACCATATTAGGAACAAGAGGTGGAGCCATGGGCAGAAATAAAGGCCCAGGTCTGGGGAGCTAGTCACTCAGCCAGCAGCCCCTCCTTTCTTGCCCTAGTCTCCAGTCCTCCAGTATTCACAGGTGAGCTCCCCAACGGCCACCGTTCAGGATGGAGGCCATCAAGAAAAAGATGCAGATGCTGAAGCTGGACAAGGAGAATGCTCTGGATCGGGCAGAGCAAGCAGAAGCTGAGCAGAAGCAGGCAGAAGAAAGAAGTAAGCAGGTAGGCCTTAACCTTGGTCTTTCTTACTGGCTGGTGAACAAAACTGAAATGGAAGTTTTGGTGGGAAAGGCAGTGACCACTGGTGCCAGCTCATCCTTTGGGTGGGGGACCTCTTCTTCCCCAGCCCCACAGCACACGAAGAGGGCATCTAGGGTATTTGCCTTAGACTGCCTGTGTGACCTTGTGAAAGTCAGTGGCCCCTTCTGAGCCACAGTCTGTCTGCTGGATTTAAATGGGAGTGGATCGTGTTTTGGAAGAACTCCTGACTTCTAGAGGAAAAGATGGGAGCTTGACATGCAGCATCTCTTTTCCCTTAAATGGGGTGACAGACATTGACATCTGAAGATATTTACCATCCCAATGTCTTAATGAAAACTCAGCATGGCCTGGTCATTTCAGGATCAGAGATTACAAGGTCACAGGCCAAAGCTATAGCATAATTCCTGGTGCAGTTGACTGAAACTGATGAAGAAGAAAGTGTGTTGTCTCTCTGAGGATGGTAATATAGAGGGTGAGCTTAGGGGTCTGTCAGGCTCAAGAGCCTAGGGTCTGAGTCTGCATTGTTGTATATGTATGTCTTGTGTGTGACTCTTGGGGCTTCCATAGCTGGAAGATGAGCTGGCAGCCATGCAGAAGAAGCTGAAAGGGACAGAGGATGAGCTGGACAAGTATTCTGAAGCTTTGAAGGATGCCCAGGAGAAGCTGGAGCTGGCAGAGAAGAAAGCAGCTGATGTGAGTATAGGGAACCTGGGAGGTGGGTTTAACCTATGCAAATAGATCTTCATGTTAATAACTGAATTCTAAACACACTTGGACATATACATACTTGTGGATTCTCAGAACACAGGCATAGATACCCACATACATTTTTGCCACATGCTGGTATACCCTTATTAGCATATACTTTCATTCTTTAAAACATGCAGAAGTCTCATTTTTCTTACCCCTAATCCAGGAATTTAATTTTCTTTCCCAGGACCTGGACAGAGGGAGAGGAGTCAAAGCCCAGAATGCTATCACTTACCCCACCCGCCTCCCCCATGCCACATTCTTAGCTTTTGTGTCCAAGGACTGGCACGTAGATATGTGTATTAATAGGGAAACTCTCATCTCTCAACTGCCCAGCAGAGCTAGCTCAGATTTCACAATGGGACAAAGGAGGTCACACTGACCCTGGCCCTATATGGGTTTATTTCTCTTGGCCAACGTGGGCATCTGACCTTATGCCACAGAGATGCCATAGAAAGCATTGCTTATAGGGCAGCTGAAAGAATCTTATAATGATATATCAGAAATAAGAAGGACCAGGGAGTAAAGCTGTTACCAACAGACCTCACTCTGTGACCTTGACTAAACTATTCAGCTTCTCTAGGGCTGAGTTTTCCCACTTGAAAATGAAATAAATTCTCTTTTCCACTTCACGTTATCTCACAGTCACCCATTTCCCTTTATCGTCAACCTTGAAGTTAACCACAAAGATAAATGAGAGACTACACAGAAAAGATTTGTGAAAGAAAAGTAACATAGGAATCTTAACAGCAACAAAAGAATGTTCTGGTATTGATGGAAATACAGTCAATTCTCAGCACTGAGTTAGTAAGAAAGTATTTTTAAAATCACATTTGATTTTGGAAAACAGCTAGAAACAGAGTAGGAGGTTCAGAAATGTTTTCGGATCCTCTCATTCACATTTTTACTATTAGGTTTCTGATCTCCCCTCTGGCTTTCTGCCACTTTCAGTGACCTGGGGAAGTGGTGAGGGTTTTTGACTGTATCATGCCAGAGGTCAGAGATAGAGAGCATATTATATACATGATACATATTCATAGTTTCCAAAAGTTTCAGTTCAGTTCAGTCACTCAGTCCTGTCAGACTCTTTGCGACCCCATGAATCGCAGCACGCCAGGCCTCCCTGTCCATCACCAAAGTTTACACCACTACTAACTATTCATTCTCCCTTCTTGGAAAACTGTGAACAACACAGGTTACTCCCAGGACTTTGGGCTAGAGCTTGATGGCCTGCTTTACAAGGATAGATGACTATATCTCTCTGGTTCAAATAAATGGGCATGGGAGTAAGTTTTCACAAATGAACACAATGTCAGGTTGATAACAATTTTGTGAGATGTAACAAAATTGTAACAACTCTCTGGGAAAGTCCTTAGGCTGCTATAGCTAGTATATGGGCTTGAGGAGGTATTTCCAGGAACAATGAAAAGAACAAACAAGATTAACCCAAGATTTGGGGAGGGAATGAATGACATAGAGGCTCTAGACAATATACTGATACCATTGGGAAGATAAAGGAATTTGTTGGAGATGAATTCTATTTGTCCTTACACATACACACGTAAGCACACGTCAGCCCCCACCTAAGACAGGGTCTACTCGGTATATTCATTTGAAAGAAACTTCTCATAGGCATATAGGAAGCTACCAAAACCATTTAAATATACAAAGTATGGGTAAAAAACCTCATTCAACTTCTCTCCCTCTTGTTAGCTTTCCCAAAAAGTCATTAAGTCCCTTCAGAGATATATAAGAGAACAAGAAATAGGAGGAGAAGCTTGTAGACAAGAGGCAAACAGTGTTGTTGGAGAAGACTGTGGTGTTGGAGAAGACTCTTGAGAGTCCCTTGGACTGCAAGGAGATCCAAGCAGTCTATCCTAAAGGAAATCAGTCCTGAATACTGATGGACTGATGCTGAAGTTGAACCTCCAATACTTTGGCCACCTGATGCGAAAAACTGACTCATTTGAAAATATTTTCACGCTGGGAAAGATTGGAGGCAGGAGGAAAAGGGGACGACAGAGGATGAGATGGTTGGATGGCATCACCAACTCGATGGACATGAGTTTGAGTAAGCTTTGGGAGTTGGTGATGGACAGGGAAGCCTGGTGTTGCAGTCCATGGGGTGGCAGAGTCGGACACGACTGAGGGACTGAACTGAACTGAAGATGGAAACTAGAAGAAAGGTTTCTTTTCTCAAAGGTGGGGTCAGCAAACTATCACCTGTGGGATAAATGATGCTTCAGCCTGGTTTCCTACAAAGTTTTATTGAACATTTCCATGCCCATTCATTTACATATTGCCCTACTGACTTTCCCCCTGCAAGAGAGTGGCAGCCACACACTATGGTCCACAAAATCAGAAATATTTACTATCTGGCCCTTTACAGAAGTTTCAAGTAGAGAGCAAGGGTCAGAGTCAGCAGCACATAACAGATGCATCTTTGAAGGGAGGGTGTTCTTTCTAATAGGAAGGGAGTTCACAGCTCAGCTTCTGCCCTTGAGATTAATAAACAAGTAAAGAGAGCATATTACTTTGATGTAAATATAAGGGGAAAAGAAGGAGCAGGGAGTCAATAACTGCTTATTTACGCTGGGAGTCCTGGTTACCTGAGAAGCCAATTTGGAAAGCATAGGATTTGCTAAAACGCCTTGAACAAAGAAAGGGTAAGGGTGTGGCAAGGTCAGTCTGAACTTCATTTATTTCCTCCCTAAGTTCATCCAAGGTCCTTTTTGTTTTTTAATTGTGAAAAAATACACATAATGTAAAATTTGCCATTTTAACCATTTTTAAGTGTACAAGTCACTGGTGGTAAGAACACTGACACTGTGGTGCAACCATGTGGAAGGTTCTTTTGATCTGAGATGAAATCAGAAGCTGTTGAAGGTAAACAAAAGGAGAATGAAATAATTAGGACACATAAGTTTTACTTTTTTTAAGGACAGGAGGTGAAAGGGATGGGGAGAAGAGGGAGAGGACACCTGTTGATACATTGTACTGTTGGTTACCAGGAAAACAATAGCACTAGGCCCCTTGCTGCCCATCCATCCTGCTTTTAAAGGTCATTAGGAGTCAGTCCACCTGTTTCCCTGGATCAAGAGAAGATTATCTGTTCAAATCTACCAGCCTCAGGAATGCACTGGTGCTCTCAACACTCATTTGGTTTGTCTAAGATGAAGTCTTCTGCTTCTTCAGTAGGGCAAGGGAGCAGTGCAACAGTGTCCCCTGCTGATCAGCACTGAGATGTCAAAGTCTCATTTTTATTTCCATAACCCCTCTCATTGCTGCTAAGTTGCTTCAGTTGTGTCTGACTCTGTGCGACCCCATAGCCGGCAGGCCACCAGGCTCCCCCGTTCCTGGGATTCTCCAGGCAAGAATACTGGAATGGGTTGCTATTTCCTTCTCCAATGCATGAAAGTGGAAAGTGACGGTGAAGTCACTCGTTCCTGTTGGACTCTTAGCGACCCCGTGGACAGCAGCCTACCAGGCTCCTCCGTCCCATGGGATTTTCAAGGCAAGAGTACTGGACTGGGGAGCCATTGCCTTAGATTTCTCCAAAGAGAGCTGGGAAAGTTCTTAGGCCATCAGGGCAGAGCTTACTGAAACTTCAAAGCCTGCTTTTTTCTTTCCATTTCCTGGGGGGAGCGGGAGGGGGGGTGTAAATCAGCATATAGGTTACTCTATCAAGCAAATTACTTATTGTCTGAGTTGTTTCTGTTTCCTCTGATTAGTCTAAATGCTCAGTATTTCTAAATGCAGATAGTTGAAGACAGCCTCTGGTGGGAGTGTCTTCAGAACAAGGCACTGAGCGCAGCACCAATGTCTTACTTATCAATCTTCTTGGGGGTCAGGATTCGTAATTTTAAATCCTGGTCGACATCCTAATTCTCTAGAGAAAAAGAGATCTGCAACACAGGAGAGACTTATTACTATTACTTACTGAGAAGGTGGGAGGAATACAAAGAAATATAGGCAAGAGTAAAATCCTCCAGGCTCTTCATTACTGTGCTTCTAAAAATCCTGCATGGCAATGCCTGTAGGGGTGGTTTCTAACTGACAAATAGCTCCTGGGGAACCTGAAAGCAGAAGTAGTGTGAAATTGGTGAAAGTTATAACACAGAGGGAAGGCTGAGATCCCTAATACTATATACAGTTTTTCAGATGCTCCTATCAGTGCTATTGCACAAAGGATCTGGTGACAATAGTCTGTAACAGAGGACTCCTGATAAAATGGAGCCTTAAGACACCTTCCTCACCTACAAAAGGAATTGTAAGCGATGATTAATTACAAAGTCCTGAATCATTCAAGGTTTGGAGAGGCTGGTAAATCAGTGGGTATACTGATTCTCAAAAGTAACAGGGGAAAAGACCAGTATTCTAAATAGAACACGTTCATAACTGGTGTCAAATAGAACGAGAATTTTGCCAAACCCCCCATTAATTCCCTTCACTGACTTTCAGGAGATGGGAGAACACCTACCTGAGCTGACTTTGAGAGGAGGCTGGAGAGCAGCACTCTTGAAGACGAGGCCCAGAAAGTCTAGGCTTTTCTTATCACCTGGGTTTGGAGCATTTGTGGGGTGGGTGAAGTAGAGGCTTGTGGGGTGTTTATGTTGTGGAGAGGACACAGGATGCCAGGAGTGAGGGGTCAACTGCGAGTGCGTAAAGGCCGCGCAGGCCATCCATTGTGGGCGGCCTGCCCAGCAGCTGGACAGGCTTAACCACTACGCGCCTTCTGGTTACCATGGTAGCCCTCCCTCTTCCCAACCCCGCCCTCCTTTGCTGGCCGGAGGGAGAGTCTGGAAGCGGTCGCCCAGGGGTACCGGGCGGGCTCGCCCCTCGCTTTCGGCCGCGAGCCTCCCTCTAGTGGACTGCCTTCCCGCCTGCCTGGCGGTGGGAGGGAGCGGCGGTCGTAGCGTCACATCCGGGCGGGTGGGTGAGTTCCGGTATTTCAGGGCGGAGCAGGCGGAAGTAGGGGTGAGAAGCGGCTGCAACGCCGAGCGGGGGAGGCAGGAACCCGAAGGCAAGCAGGAGCTGGGTGGGGACCATGGCCGGGATCACCACCATCGAGGCGGTGAAGCGCAAGATCCAGGTTCTGCAGCAGCAGGCCGATGATGCAGAGGAGAGGGCCGAGCGCCTCCAGCGGGAAGTGGAGGGGGAAAGGCGGGCCCGAGAACAGGTACGGCGAGAGCGAGGCGCGAGAGGGAGAGGCAGGAGCCGGAGCAGATGGGACCCCGAAGTGGGTCCGGATTTGTGCGGTGGAGCACGGTCCTTAGGGGGCCAGCATACTCCGAGATGAAGTTGAAGTCCGGAGGATGGGTGGGGCTTAGCTTCACTTGGACCTCAAGTGGGTGAGGGGGACACTGGCTGCTGGAGCAAGCAGATTTGACTTTTGAAGGAATTGAGCTTCACGGGGTCTGAGGCGTGGTTTTCTTCCTCTTTTCTCCCAGCTCATTCATTCAATCCCTTCAGGTCGGGCGCGGTCAGGGGAGGGGCTCAGCGGCCTCTCCCTCCCCCACTTCCCCGGTGGGGTAGGGGACTTTGCTCTCGTTTGGGGTTTCCGGCCCAAAGGGTGAGAGTAGGTGGATGCCTCTCTGATCTGGAGGGGAGCAGCGCCGAATTTACGGTGAAAGGGTGGGGTGTGGAGGGTGGGAACAGCCGGAAAGCCCCCGGCCTGGCCTGCTGGCAGCTTTTCCGCTCCCTCCTCCTGCTCAGGAAATGAGGCAGCAGTCGACTGAGGAAGCGGTGCCCTCCCTGGAGGAGGTTGAGGCCACAGCACCGCCTCCCATCCTCCGGTCTGGGGCCCTTTCCTCTTAGGGGGAACACTTGCCGCTGCTAAACCCACTCTGTCGGCGTGAAACTGGAGGGGAGGAGATAGTACCTCACTGCTTCTGTGAGTGCAAATGTAGGAACGAACAAAACCTGCCTAGCTCCCGTGGCTACCTGGAAGGCGGGAGCTTCTGCCAGATTCAGGCCTTTATTGCTGGAGTGTGAAGAGTGCAAGCTGAACCGTTTAAGAACACTTCTTCCAAGCAGAGCTGATAAGCGAGAGTATGTGGTAGAGAATCTGATGGAGTGCCAGTTTCTGTCAAGGTTTCTGGTTGCCCTAGTCAGTGTGGCTGATGGAGTTTCAAGGGGTCTATTAAGGGATGTTACTACTCTGGTACGTTCCCAACTACCCACTATAGTGTCTGTTGTTGTTGTTGTTTTTTGGCGTTCAATAAATATTTGCTCAACTAAAAGTTGAAACATAATATGCTAATCGATTGAATGGTGATTCTTGAAACTGCTTTCTGTTGAGAAGTGGTGAGCTAGTTTTAGTAAGCCATAGGTTTTGCACGATCTAGGGTGCAGTCTATGGGTAGGACTGATTTCCTGAGTTGAGACTTTGGTTTTGGAGGATCCTGAGGCTGGAGGGGAAAGTAACTGTTGCTAAAATTTGAAGACCTAATGAAAGAACTCTTGTGGTTTATTGGTATTCCTTGTTCTCCCCTCCCCTCTTTTGGGCAGTGGCTGAGAATTAATGTTTTGGGGAAATGAGAGAAGCAGCTGCCCTCCAGGTTAATACTTAAAGATTGTTAGAATAGTCATTTCTTTTTACAACTGGGCATGGAAATGCTGGGAGCTTGGTTTCCTCAGTCACTCATTTCTCAGTGGATTTTCCCTCCGTTCATTATACTTCTTTTTAATTTTTTTTTTTTCATAACTTCTAATTATCATTCTAGTGAGATGAACTGGCTGGGTGACTCTTTATGACTAGTGACACTTTCTCATCTCCTTTGTTCTGGAGACCAGATCCCCTTAAAGGGGGAGACAGGGTGGCTTTAAGGAACTGGCCTTGTGTTGACCTAGAGCCAGGCTCAAAGTAAGGGCATGCTGGGAATGGTTCTAGGGTAGATGATGTAGTTACCCCCACCCTCAGTAGCCCCCAGGACTTGGTTTCCCCCCTAGGATGTCCTGGACATTCACTGCACTCAGGATTTGGTAATTTTCCTTGCAGGGAAATTTCACTCTTTTTTTTCCCCCAGCCTGGGCTGATAGGTGAGAGACAGCAGAGTGAGCAGCTTCAGGTTTTTCTTAAGCTTCTCCCTCCCTCAGAGCCTGCCAGATTTGCTTACTGAGCTGAGTGAGATCTAGTGAGGAAGCCCTCACTCAGATGGGGAAGTAGAGTGATAGTTAAATATTTTTGAAACCATTATTTTCTACCCCCCAGCTTGAAAAGTGCCTAATCTTTTGACTTTCTGCTCTAGTGAACTTTGAGTTCCTCCTGAGGAAACACCTGTGGGAAGAGAGGCGGGGAGTGCCTGAACTACCTGTTATCCTCTTAGGGCATTCTGGAATGTGGATTTTGCAGGCTCTTCCCGCCCGGAGCTGGAAGCTCTGCCCTCCCTTATGATATTGCATGCCATTAGTGGGATTGTCACGCAATAACTTTTCTGGTTGCTTTGTGTTATCATCCAACCCTCCTTGGGAAGCTGGACGAGTCCAGAGCCCACCAAGTGGTTCTGGAAACCATCTCTACTCTCTTGACCTGGAGATGTATCTTTTATAATGTAGTGCCTTGTCAAATCCACTTTCGATTTTGAATCTCCTTTTACTTTTTTGCGAAACTGAAACAGATGGCAACATAATATTTCAGTGCAGTCTTTTCCCTCATCTGTGTGTGTGTGTTGTGGTGGTGGTAAAGATACACAGTGGTAAATGTTTACTATTTTAACCATTTTTAAGTGTACAATTCACCTTATCTGTTTTTAATACTTGTCTCCTAACTTCTGGTATTTCTCGCTCTTTTTTTTCCCCCTGGTCTAAAAAAATTTAGGGATACTATTGAGGGAGTGAGTGGGCTTGGAATAGCAGTTTGATTGTGGCCTTATTCCCAAATTCCTAGTCTGCAGGGAGTGGGTGGTGGTGGTGGTTAGAATGTCTGGCCATTGTGTGGCTCTCTTCTGTTGGTAGCATAAGCGACTGACTTTATCACCTTTCCTTGGTTTAGGTTGGCTTTCCTCTTGATTACCTTTCTTTTTCTTGCTTCATACTAAGAGCACATACTCATAGGGGAGAGGCAAATAGCCCTTTGCTCTGAGTGCCTCCGCTTAGTCTCCACCTTTGTTTACTCTGGAACAGATAACTCTGCTCCCTTCCTTCTAACTTGCCTCCCCCTTGATGAAATTTAAAGTCCCCAAGGACACAGTATCTCCCTGGGTAGATACATTTGTGAACACTGTAAACCAGAGCAGTCCTTTACTCACAGGGCTCAAGCCTAACTTTTCCATTACTCTTTTCCTTTGAATTTCATCTCTGGCTTTTGTCTAAAAAGAGAAACCCTAGAGTGGCAGAATACCAGATTTAGGCTAATCCCCTTCTGTCCTTGGCCCTGATCTGCCTCTGAACACCAGTCTCCTGTCTTTCCTGCCTTGATGGGTATGGTGCTCTTGGGCAATCTGTTCAGTGTGAAGGATGGTAGCACTTAAACTCATTTCCTAGCTGAAGCTGTTGTCAGCCATCTTCTGAAGTGACTCAGTCGCTGCTTTGTTCTCTCTGGCCTTGAGATCTTTGCTTACTGGATAGTGGAGAATCCTATTATTACCTGAAGGAAGGACCTCACAGTGTACCTCCAACCTAGGCAGGGGTGAGCGGGCTGAAAGATCAAAACTGCATGCTAAACCTAGGATGATATACAGCATGAAGTTAATGTTTCCTGGGGCCATGTTTCCCATTGTCACCTGCAGAAGTTAGTCCCACTTAATGGACCTGAAAGGGACAGGCATTGTGCATAGGTTCTGGCTGGAAGGAGGAGTCAGGTAGGTGTCTTTCCTTATTCCTTTAAATATTAAACAGATCTTGATTCTGCAAGCTTTTGTTCACTGTAAAGAGAACTGATCCTCTGTAGGAAGAGAAAAAAAAGAGAACAGTGACTACCTTGCTCTCCCTCTGCTCCCCACGGGGGTCTCCAAAGCTTTTGCTGTGGGACTCCCATCCTGTGTTCTGTTTTTGGTATGGGCTTGTTCAGTGTACGCGTGCTCTGATTAGGGCACCAAGTTGTGTTTTCTCCTCCTCCCTTTTCAGCCTTGAGAAGAATTCTATTGTAAATGCTGATTTGTGGGAGAAACTGCCCGAGCCAGCTTGTTGTCATGGAAACTCTACACCCCCGCCCCCATAGCCTGTTATCTTTACTTCATTTGGGTAACTGCTGGTGAGCTGGGTGGGGACTTAGATTTCGTGAGCTTCCTTCAAATCTGGGTTCCGTCTTCTTTTTTTTTTTAAGTTCTAGGCATCTGAAGGTAGTGGGGTGGGGTAAATGATTGAACTGTCAGTTCTCAGTTCTTCTTTCACAGTTCTTGCCTGACGGCCAGATTCATAACAACCTTGACCGGTTAGCCTTTTTGAGCTTGTGGGGTAAAATCTGTGTTGTCCTAGGTTTCCTGAGATAGGACCAGAGAATACTCATCTTTGTGCTGTTTTGAATAGAGATGCAAACGGTTTCTTAGTAATTTCGGCTTATGTAGACATGTTGACTTTCTTTTCTTGTAGGGCACTGGTTATATAGCCCCAGCCCCTGCAGTTCCTTGAATCTCCCATGTTTGTATTTGGAAATTTTTGTGTGCTACATAACCCAGTTCTTAACAGGAGTCTTTTGGGCTATATCCCTTCCCATAGGGGCTGGTGGCCCAGATTATTTCTATAGCTACCCCCACCCCTGACTGCCAGGAGGAAATCAGGGTAATAGAATTCAGGCACAATCTGGGCTGTAGAAGAGAGATCGTGTTTACCAAGCCTTTGGATAAGCATCTGAACTGGGTAGTGTGCGGGGCAGGTTAAATTCTTGTGCAGTTGTGACGGTCAGTGTGCTTGCCACCAGCAAAGGTGTGGGGAGGGGAAGGGCAATCATAAGAGAGAGGCTTCTTTGCCAGCAGAATTCATGCTCATGCGGCTGCCCCCTTCTTTCCTTGCTTCTTATTCCATGGCCCAGGAGGAGGCATGGGATAACTTGGACTCCAACCTGTGCTTTTTACTGTGGGGTGGGAGCCGGGGGAAGATTGTCATACACTGTAATGGAGGGTGAGGCTAAGGGAGTGACTTGAGGAACAGAAAGGGTCACAATTCAGAAATTCGGAGGGGTGGTGGGAGGCCTGGAGGGAACATTCTCTTCTGCCCCCAGTTTTTTTGGTAATGCCATCAAAGCAGATAATTTTAACCCAAAGAAACTCCTTGTAGTCAACTTTTAAAAGGTGCGAGGTGGGGTCCAGTTGAAAGGGTGGAAAGTATCCCAATATTCCATCCTTTTGTTTTCTGATCTGGAAGGTCCTTCTGGAAAACATTCTCTTTGGCTAGTCCTCCTCTTGTTGGGTGTGTTAGGGTAAGGTTATCAGAGGGTTATCAGAGAGTTAAGCAGCAGATTAACAGATAATCCAAGATTCCCTCTTTGAGAAACCTTTTTTTATTTTTCCACTTTATGTGACACTTATGGGAAAGCTGCTGTAGAATAAGACATGTCTCTAAGCCAGAACTCAGGCAGACCCCTTCACTGGCTTACCTTTTCTGACACTAGCGTGTTTAGGAATTTGAACTGAGTCCAGAAAGGGGGTGGTACTAACTGACACTGGGCTGGGCAAGGAACTGAGTTTTGAAACACTTTTCCTGTGGAACATATGGGAATTCATTGATGGGAAAGGGAGGAAAATGCCTGTAATAACACAGAGTGTATAGTCATGTCTGCTCGGTCTTAGGTGCATCTGAGTTAAGACAGGTTCTACCCTGCTTCCTCATGGTGGTATTCAACCCGTCTTAGTGTCATAGTTTCTTTTCACCATGCTTCTGCTTCCTTTTCCCATTCTTTCACTTAAACACAGGCTGAGGCTGAGGTGGCCTCCTTGAACCGTAGGATCCAGCTGGTTGAAGAGGAGCTGGACCGAGCTCAAGAGCGCCTGGCCACTGCCCTGCAAAAGCTGGAGGAAGCTGAGAAAGCTGCTGATGAGAGCGAGAGGTATATAGCAGGGCCTGATGAAGTGTGGATTTCAAAGGTTGTTCATAATGGCTCTAATCAAACAGGTTCCTTAAAAACCTATTTCTTTTTAAAACAGTGACCTGTCTTTACAGGATCTTCTTTCCTTCTGTCCTTCATATTCTCTACATACGAAAACCGACAGTAAGGGTTACCTGGACCCATGACCCTTGTGTAATGGTGTTTCTCTATAAATAAATTCACCTAGTAATAGTATTCCTGTAGTGGCCTCCATTTAGCACCCACTCAAAGCAGTTCACAAAGTGAGGTTCCAGGCTAGCTGCACCTGGGAATTTGGAAGAAAGTCCCATCAGCAGCCTCTACCACTCATCAGTGGATCAGAAGTGGAGCCCAGCAATCACTGATTTAATAAGCTCTCTAGTCCCTGGCTGCACTGTTAGAATCATGGGAGTGCATGGTAGGGATCTTTGGGGAGTTTTAAAAATACGTCAGAATGCCTGGGTCCCATCCCAAATCAGTTAGAACCCATTGTGAAAGGGGCCTGGTCATTTTTTAAAGGGGCCTGGCTATTTTTAAAGCCCTCCAGTAAATTTTTGGGGGAGTATTGCGTGGCCTCGCTTGCAGGATCTCAGTTCTCCAACCAGGAATTAAACCCAGGACCCAGCAATGAAAGCCCAGACCTCTAACCACTAGGCAACCAGAGAACTCCCCCCTCCATCGATAATTTTAATGTGTGCCCAGGGTTAGAATCACAGTCCTTGAACCAGCTCATCTTTGTTGAAAATAGCCAATTGGCTTCTATGTAACCTAAAATGAGAACAAAAGTGTGTGATGACTTGCACAAACTAAGACTTTTCAGAATTAAAAAAATTCCTTGTTGGGAGTACATTAACATAGTGCAGCCGTGAACATAAATAAGACAGCTATGTATATACTATTATAGAATAGTGGCCAAATTATAGAAAGTGAGGAAAACAAATTGCAGAGCAGTGTAGTATGGTTCTTTTGGGGCGTGGGGAAAGGTGATGAGATTTTTGGTATATAAAACATTTCTGGAAGGATTATCACATTTGATGAGCAGGACTAGAATTAGTGAGTCTTTCTGCATTAGACCTTTAGACTGTTCATTTAAATGTTTGATTTTTTAATGAGGATGTATTTATAAGAAAAGATTTTAAGCAGAATAATTCAACTAAGGTGAGAAGGTGCTATGAAAATTCTTTTTGAGCGACACAAGCAGGGAGGCATGGGCTTTACATGGTGCAGTCCCGGGTCCCTTAGAGTTGAGCTGATGACAGACTCCCCAAGCTGTCGGTGCTGCATTTGTCCATGTTGTTTCTGGCAGAGGTATGAAGGTTATTGAAAACCGAGCCTTAAAAGATGAAGAAAAAATGGAACTCCAGGAAATCCAACTCAAAGAAGCTAAGCACATTGCAGAAGAGGCAGACCGGAAGTATGAAGAGGTATGGCACTCTTAGCTCATCCCTCTCTCTGCAGTGGTTTCGGCCCCTTTGCTTCTGAACTGTACCCTTGTCTTTTCCCGTAGGTGGCTCGTAAGTTGGTGATTATTGAGGGAGACTTGGAACGCACAGAGGAGCGGGCCGAGCTGGCAGAGTCGTGAGTATCTTGCCCCCCAAATCTTGCCGTACCATTCTGTTCTTTTCCTTTTGGCTTGGGCACTAATGTGAATAAACTAGCATTTCTTCAACCTTGTTAAACAGGACCTAGAGAGTGGGAGTCACTTACAGTGTTTTTTTTCTTTTAGCCCTAAGAATGGCTTTGGGCTTTCTTAACTCACGCCATGTGACAAATGAGACTTCCTGATTTTTTGTTGGGAGGGTTTATAAATTGAGGGGAAGATGAAATCTAAAAAAAAAAAAAATGGTGAACTGTTGGCCGGTAGGCCTACTGGGTCCTTCAAACTGGGTTCTGCTTCTCCTTGAGGCATTGAAGTGGCTGTGCTGACTTAAGATCTGTCTCTGTTCTTACTACTTCTCTAAGCTGCTGGGGAACTTTCGGGCAAAGGCAGACAAGACCTGTTCCCCTGATGGCACCTTCTGGGCCTTGTTTAACAAAGTCCGTGCTGATACAGATTTATTTGTGCTTCCCTTGCATTTCCCTCTCCTAGACATGACATATCATGACCATGGTGATGTTTTTCTTTCCATTTTTTTTTAATTTATTTTTTTTCCCATTTTGCTGCTTGTTTCCTTGCTGTGTTCCTTTTTGACCTTTCTCCCTCCCCACCACCTGGCTTGTGCGATCCCTGTGACTATCACTAACAGCCGTTGCCGAGAGATGGATGAGCAAATCAGACTGATGGACCAGAACCTGAAGTGTCTGAGTGCTGCTGAAGAAAAGGTACTAACCATTAAACCCACAGAGAGGTTCTGTGTATGGTGTGATTTTGTTCGGTTTTGTTTTTGTTCTGTTTTGCAGCTGCCTCCCCTCCACTGGTTGGTTTGTTGAGTGCTTTCTCATCTCTTCATGGAATGCTCCATTCCTCTCCACTTACTTGGCATCTTTCATCTCTTCTTTCTAATTACTTCACTGCCTCTCCACAGGGTCTCGCCTTCCCTTGGGTGATTTGGGGGACTCTTTGGGTTGGGCATCCGTTCCCACTTCCACCCCAGGTAGCTGTTATGATTTGTTCCTGGTAGTGATCTCTCAGGTGTTTTCTTTACCAGTGTCCGAACACTCTGAGTCCCAGCCCAGGAGGGTCCAGCTCCTGATATGTTCTCTGGTGGAGGGAGGAGGGTTGATGCTTGCTCAGTTTACCTGGGAACTTCTCTTTTCCCCAGTATGCCTTCCAACTCTCTCTACATATAGGTTCAATTCATGTCTGTGTGTCTCTCTCCCTTTTTTTATTCTCTTCTTCCCCTTTCCTCTCCTGCGGTATTTAAAATATTCACAGTAAGTGTTCTGAGCTGGAGGAGGAGCTGAAGAATGTCACCAACAACCTCAAGTCTCTTGAGGCTCAGGCGGAGAAGGTAGGGGCTGGTTTGTAAAAGTGACAGGCTTTGGGGCCTGGGCCCAGCCCTGCCCTTGATGAAAAATGGGAGAAACTCATTCCTTATATAATCCAGTGAGAAGTATCCACCTATTCTCTCCAGATTCGGGTTTAATGCCAATTCCCATGTACTTTGACTGCTGCAGTTAAAGTAACTTCTTGGTCTCACACCCCCTGGGGCACCTTCTCCTCAGGCTGATACTGCCGTGCTGGCATTTGGGGGCAACAAGTAGGATCGGATCTGAAACCTAATGGGCATAAAGAAAGATGGCTTGTCTTCAGCTTCTTGTGGGACTGTTTCAGCCACATGGCCTCCAGGTGTCATCACATTTACTCATTAACTTGGAGGCAGGAAGAATGCCTTCCTGTGCTGATCAAAGCCTAGGTCCATTTCAAAAATAATGGTCCTGGTGGAGTCTGAGGTTATCATGGCTCCAAGGACATTGATTTGTGGGTTTTAAGGACTGTTTGTTCTGAAACAGCCTTGTTCTTTCTCATGGATCATCCAACACATTCAATCCAAGAGGATGTTGAATGTAAATGTCGGGAGCGGGGTGTCATCTGTGTAAGCAATATCTATCCTGAGATGTTTATTCTACTTCTCTTACAGTACTCTCAAAAAGAAGACAAATATGAGGAAGAGATAAAGATTCTTACCGATAAACTCAAGGAGGTGAGCTCTGGGGATTATATATGAGGAGGGGGGGCCCAAGACATTGAGAGGCATATAAGGCATCGTGTTGACTTAGACTAGCTGGCTTTGGTTCTGAAAAGTATAGAAGCAGAAGGTGGAAAAGATAGAGGCCCTTCTCGAACTGTCTTATCTCTGATTCTGACTCATTTCATGTTCCCCCAGGCAGAGACACGTGCTGAGTTTGCTGAGAGATCGGTAGCCAAGCTGGAAAAGACAATTGACGATTTGGAAGGTATGGAGCCTGGTGAGGGATTAAGATTAATAGAGAGGAAGATCGTGCCCTTTGATGCTCTTCCCCTCAACACCAAAAGGATTTGGTAGTGACCTGGCGTGCATCCTATGCCCTGTCTGTGCCATAGCCAGGTGAAATGGGTCACATCTTGGAGCTGGATTTTTATACTTAATCTTTTCCTTTAATAAGACTTAACCTAATATTCTGGAATTTGTATCCTCCCCTTGGAGGAGATTGGTCATGGCATGTATCCTCATGTCGCCCCATGGCTACTTTGGGCAATCTTGCTCACCACTCGAGTTATGGGGGGAACCTCACCAAGGGAAGCAGTGGTGGAATGGCCACTTCTCAGAGCTGACCAATGCCAGGGGCTTTCTGAATGCTTCCTGCCCCTGCAGTTTGGCAGCTGCATCCACCCTAAGTCTGAAATATGCTGCTTTGGTACACTGGGTAGCAGAATATTCTTTGAGAGAGTTCAGGGCAGGCAACCTGTAGAGCAAAGGGACCAAGAATATTGGTTATGCTTGGTAGGTCTGAATATTAAGTGTCTGAGTATTAATGTGTATTTTCTCCTTTTCCTATTTTTGTTAAATTCAGCAATATTACTACTAGGAATTAGGTTCGCTGGGTGGGAATGGTATCCTCTTGAGTGCCTTTGGTAATTGGAATTTGTAGTCATGACTGTGCCCAGGTTCTCAACCTTTGCTGCAATTGATTAGAGCTATCAGAGGGATCAAGAAGTCTGGTTGGTCTTGGGGGCAGTGGATCTGAAATGGCCAGTCGTGGCTGCCAGGATAGATATTCTCCTAACGGTGGGATTAGACCCGTGGTCACGCTTTCCTTCGTTTCTAACGATTCCCTCTCTTCATCTGCTTCTGATACCTTTTACTGTGTGTCCTCATTCCTCCCTGTGTTCCTGTGCCTGTCCAGATGAGCTCTATGCCCAGAAACTGAAGTACAAGGCCATTAGCGAGGAGCTGGACCACGCCCTCAATGACATGACCTCTATGTAACTATCTGACAGCAGAGTGGGGCTGGGACCTTGGCTTGGGGCGGGTGGGGGTACAGACTGTGCGTAGTGTGCTCTGCTTTTGTCTTCTGGAAACTAGAATCTCCACTCTTATCTTTAAAACATTGGTGCTGGTTACTTGTTGGCAAAAGCTGCGGCGGCATGTAATCCTGGATCAGGGGTAGAACCCTGATCTACGTGTATAATTTTTGTACTTTTTATTCATGGTCCTTTCATTATGACACCGGGATTTTCCCGTTTGGTTCTTAAGTTTAGTCTCAGAAGAGTTACTGCTTAAGATAATCATGTTGTCATACAATTAAAGAACTAGGGCCCAGAGAGCCAGTGACTTGGGCCATAGCACCCAGACTTCCCTGGTGTGTATGGTTTGTACCCTGATGCTGAAGTTCAGGTGAAACACCCATGATTGGAAATCCCAAATTTACCTAAAAGGCTGAGCCACGTCCCAGAGCAAGCCAGGTAGTAAAAAGCACCAAAAAGAGTTGTGGGGGCCTTCATCTGTTTGCTGTGGATCCCTGATCCTTGACGCTAATCTGCCTTTTCCCCACTAACCCTGAAAAGAAGCCAAATGACTCAGGCTGCAGTGTCTGGCTGTCTTTTACCATTCCTACTGCCACCTCTTCCTTTTTCTCCTCTTCCTTTCTCCCAAATTGCTGTCTAGATTGATGCTTGTCCTTCTCACCTAGAGTCTCCTTACTTTTTCACACAGATAATTATCACCGTTTCTGCTCTGTTCTGGATCTACCCCTTTCCTCGGGGAACCCAACGCCCCACTCTCGCTCTGGATTCCATTTGGGTCAGCCTGGCTGATCCCCAAGGCATTAAGATGGGCGGGGGGGGAGGTGGCCACAAAACAACTTATGTATTCTCTTCCACCCCTCACCCCAAATTAAAATGTTAAGCTGCCGGAAGCCTCATGCCACCCTGCATTTGTGTCATTGACAAAGCTGCTGCTGTCCCTAAAAAGGAGCCTTGGGGGTGTGATGTGGGGCGCAGCTATTGTAGGCTCTCCCTTCTCTGACTTATATAATCAAAGCCACTTTTGTGTGTGTCTATTTTTTCTTGACATTTAAATTCAACTGATCTATCAGAGTGGTGGACTAGGAGAGGTTCCTTAGAATAGGAGCTCTAGTTTGACACTCAAGCTGAGTGAAATTATCCAAGTCCTTTACTTCCAGGTTCTTAAATCATCCTATCTGGAATGTTTGTCTTCTCCTTAGGTTCTTCTTTTAGAGACCACTGAAGTACCTCTCAATATATCCTCTCTACCCTTTTACCAGTGGTTCATCCTCAGAATACACGGTGGACCCAAATATGTGACTGCTGAAATTGACTAAGTATATTGCCACAAGTCAGAGAAAGTACATAATAGGTAGAATTTCCAGCAGTTATAAACCTTTCTTACATATTTGAGGCTCACTACTATTTGCCTGCTAGTATATGCTAGTGGAATGTAAGTGATAAATGATTGTTACTAGAAAAATGAAAACAATCAGTCATGCATATTTCAAATGTTATACACAGGTACCATGTTTTTTAGTACATGCATAAATATGGTAAATTGCTTCTAGTAGGATTGTTCCTAAATTCATGTTGTGGAATTAAATATCAACCTTCCGGAAATTCCTTTGCTGATTTACATAGCAGAGATAGTTTAATCTGGGTAGTGTAATCATTGATTATACTTATCTAAGCACTTAAGTGTAATCCACTTAGTACTTCAGTTTCTCAGCACAGTATATATTTAAAATTTGGCTTTCTTTTAAACAGATATGGCCAGGTATAGAGGTTTTCTCTAATTTAAAACGTTAGGTCCCATTAAATTCAGTTTTCTTTCTGTCTATACCATTTCTTTTTGCCATACAGCCTTTGTGATTAAGGTACAGATTATTACTAGTTTGGGCACAGGGTATTAAGATGGAGGCATCTTCCTTACTCTCAGGTTGCTCATAATCTAGTAGGACAGAAAATATATGTATAAAACTAAAGATGATGTGTGATGAGTACCCCAAATAATCAAGTACCCTCAAGAGGGAGGAAGAGGTTGATTGCAGTGTTGATGATAAGAGAAGTGTCATGATAGGAGGCACATACAAGTTACTTAATAAACATGTTGAAACTTTCCTCTTCATTTTTATTGGATTCCAAAAGATTGGATTTTTGACAGTCTGGTTGAAGGAAAGTGGGTCTTGAGCATTTTCATCAAAGAGAAGCAAAAGAACAAAGGCATAGAATTGGGAAGGACACCAGGGGTTTAAGCGTCCATTTAGATAAAGTAGGGAACAGGTTTGTGCTAAGATCAGGCTGGGGAGTTTTAATTTTGTTTTGTAGGTGATGGGGGTACCACTAGAGATTTTGAGCAAGGATGTGTTCTTAGTAGAAGAGTTAATTTGGCCACTAAGTTAAGAACATATTGGAAAGGGAGCAGATTATCAACGTGATCCATTACGACAATGATTCCCGGATTTCATTCATTTGCATATCAGTTTTGACTGCTTTTTCCATATGTACATGCAGCCTACATTATTTTCTTTTAATTTACTCATTTTAAAATTTCTTAGGCTAAAAAAAAAATTTCTTACACTACACAATTCTAACTTGAAATCAAAAGTTTTGACATGTGCTAGTGTTTTTTTCCTAATGAACATTAAAATCATGTAGCTAATTAAGTTCACAAAAGTATGCTGTCTGCAATCTTCTCACATATCACTAACAGTGACTGTACTACAGTTTAGGAAATACTGGGATAGGTTATTGCAGTTTCCCAGGGAGAAAAATCTGACCTAGATAGTGGTATTAGGGGATGGTGATGACCATGGGCATTATGATGGGTGGTCACTAAATGCAAGAAGGAAGCATCAAGGATGACTGGTTCTGAACCTAGGAAAATGGTGGTATTAAAGGTGTAGGGAGGTCATATAATCCTGGTTTGGGAAGGCAAGGGAATAAGTCTGTAAAACTAGCTGGTATCCAAGATGAAAACAAATCCTAGCACTTGAGGGGGAGAGTTTGATACAAGAGAGATTTAGGAGTCTGTGAGGTTGGCAGGCAGTTTAGGCCATGGAAGTAAATTCGAATCCTAAAGACAATTGCAAATGTAAAACGAAAAACTAAGCAGAGGAAAATCTGTGTAGAGGTGGAAGCCAAATGGAACTGGTTGGAGGGATAGAAGAAATGAGTAGCTTTTTAAAAAATTTGAGTCACTGGGTGATTGCCAGTGATTCTTAACTTTTAACAGGTAGAGAAGGATGATAATTGAAAATTATGAAAACGTAATTATTGATGCTTTATTAATCAGGGTATATTTTGAGCATTAAGGACAAGGAGAGGAGCCATACTTCAAGGAGCAGAAGCAAATTGATGGAAAGGAAAAAGGAGGCATGAAGTATAGTGTAGAACAATGATGTCTGTCTGAACCTTTGACAGTGATTTCCAGTATTGCAACCACCAGCCACATGGGGCTGTTGAATACTCAGTGTGGCTAGTGTGACCCAGGAACTAAATTCTAATTCTGCTTTTAGTTCTGAATTTAATTAACCACATGTGGCTAGTGGCTGCCACGTTCATTGTATAGTATAGTTTAGGCTGTTTTAGTATGTGGGCAGAAGGAATTGACTTTGGCACGGAGGAAGGCTTCTAACAAAGAAAAGAACTAAGAATGGAGAAAGATTAGAAGAGTGAGGTGTAGAAACCATCTTATGTTACTTGAGCCAAGACTTGCTATGGGAATAGGGTGAAGCATCAGAGTAAAGTGCTTCATCCCTTCACTTTCCTCATCTTAATTTCTAAGGAAAAAACCACAGGCTGATGTGTTGGGATCCATTCTTCCCTTCCTCGTTACCATTGTTGGGAAAAGGAATAAAACAAAGTGTGACTGGATCCCAAGTTACCTGATGGGTGGAACTGACCTGTTATGTTAGGCAGCCTTGTCTTAGCCACACCCAGACTCTTCCATTCTCATGAGATTGGTTGAATATTCCTTAGCCTTAACATGAGGAAGGAGTTTAAAAAAAAAAATCTGTTCTACATCATTCCTTGAATGTGAGTCTTTAACACTGATAGAGTTCCCCTTATTCCAGGCACTCCCATCCTTTTCCTGTTACAGAATGAAATTGACCTGATTCAAACTAGTGAAGCCTAAGAATGTGTAGCATCCATGGGATTATTCCCTGAAAGGAAAATCAGACTAAAGGGGGATTCTCTGACTTGCTTTTTGTTTGTTCATTTTATTTGCTCTTACAGGGAACCAAGAAATTTAATGAACTAGTATCTGGTCCTGAAATTTTAGTTAATAGAAATAACAGAGTTAGAAACCTTACTTATTACAAAGTTCAAGGTGAGAAAATAATCACATTTATCTTTCTGACCTTACGCAATTATAAAGGAACTAGAAGTTCTAGGATTTAATCAGACAATAAAATGCTCCCACTTATTCTCTGCCTCTTTATTTCTTCCCTAAGTGGAACAAAACTCTCCCTGACCAGACTTTTTAGAGTTAGGATCCTAATAACACCTGTCTTTCCTAAGATTGTGGGAGTCACACTAAGACTAATTTAGATATAGATGTTATGGAACAGCCAGGTTGCAGATGGTCTCTGGATGTAACATAACACCAAAAAGTGCAAGGAATGAGATTTCAACACAATTTGAACCCCTACTGTTTGTCAGGATTGCCCCAGTGAATAAGACAGGTCCAATCACAGACCCGATGGACTAGTGTAGACTAGTACAGTGTTTCTCAATGGTGGACTTTAGCCCTTTAGGTCAGGATAATTCTGGGATGTACAGAACAATCCTGTTTATTGCTGTCCCCTGCCCAATAAATATGTCAGACCCTCCAATTATTGTGACAATTAAAGCCTGCCCTCACACATTTCTCAATTCCCCTCTAGGGGGAGGGGAGGGAGAGTATTCCTCCTATTGTGACACTGGTTTAGTAGGAAGTGCAGTTTTTAAAATTCTCTTCCAATTCTGCCCCTACGGGGCAGAAACTCTTGTTTTTTGGTTATTCCCCCCAGGATCTTTTTATACATGTATGTTTTCTGTTTTGGATAGTGTACACAAAGTGGCAAGTATTATTGGGAACACACTAGTCCCCAGCTTCTGGGTAGAACTGGGAAAACTTCAGTCCAGAAGGCAAGGTAACTGAGCAATGCCCACGGTGAGCCCACAGATGAAAGACAGAGAAGTCTTTTTCATATTGAGGTTCTGAGACCATTTTGAAACAGACTGTAAAACATAGGAAAAAACTTGTTTATGAACACCAGAGGCTGACATTAGGAGTAGACTGGGAAGACCTATCCCTCAATTTCCATTACCCTTGTGTTAGTCACATGAGGTTGGACTCACTGTAGCCCCTTTTTTATTTATTAAAAAAATTTTTCTTGTGATGAGAACTTCTAGGATGACTTTTTAAAAACACCTTTCATATATAAAACATACAGAGCAGTACTGACTATATTATATTGTATATTACATCTCTAATATTTATTTTATAACTGGAAGTTTATACCTTTTGACTACCTTCATCCAATACCCCCTTACACACTCTCCCTCTCTGGTAACCACAAATTTGATCTCTTTTTCTGTGAGATTGTTGAAGTGTAATTGACTTATAACACTATGTTTATATTAGTTACTGTATGATACACAGCATAGTGATTTGATATTTCTATACCTTACAAGACGATCACCATTCTCTACCTCTTTAAGATGTGCTCCAAGTGGAAAATCCAAATAAATCCAGGGGATTTGAGCACTTAATTACTTGTATCAGGAACGCTTTTAGTTAAGAAACATCTTAATAGCTGCTTAAATAAATATGGGGTTATTTTTCTCTCATAATAAAAAGTCTTGATTGAGCAGCTTTGGCTTGGTGTAGTTGGGGTTTCTGTGATTCTTATGGCCCCTTTTTTTTAGTTGAAATTTGCAACTCGAGTCATCATACCCATGTTCAAAGCAAGAAAGAAGGCTAGTTTTCCCAGAAGCCCCCAGACACACTACCTCCTACATCACTGGCCAGAACTGGATCACATGATCACCCTAAGCTGCTAGTGAGGCTGGAGAAACAGGATAGTCTTGATTGGCTTGCATTAGTAATGCACCTTCCCTGGGGCTGGCGACTGTGGCCACTAACAGGTTTGGTGAAGTTGAGTTTTGATTGGATGTGCCACTATGATAGGTCTTTCACTCAACACCTACCATAGAAAGCATTAGAAAGTGTAGGGTTGAGTGAGTATGGGCTATGTATCCCAGTCTTCTGTTCATAATGCTGTATTGAATGCTTTTACAGAAAAATATTCAACTGTTCACGTCGGTTCCTTACAAACGCTCATTTTTGTAAATGTATTTCTTGTAAGCCAACTATATTCCTTCTTTTGCTGTGCTTCACTTGTCTCAGTTTCTTAACCCAAGGAATAAATACTATGAGGGAGATATTTTTCTCCCTCAAAATGTCATCCTTTCACCTTGTTAGCCTGCATTTTTTATTTTACTCCTCTGTTGGTCTTTTCACCAACTGACTGAATCCTCCTTGCATCCATCCAGCCTTACAGATGCATGTTATGTATACCAGGTAGTTAAAAGTCTCAAGATTTACTTCTGGTACTCTACTAACTTTCCCTTTTTCTCTTTCTCCTCCTCTTTTCCTCTCCTTCTCTTGTTTTTCTTCTCTCCACTGCTGCTGCAGAGCGTCTCTACAGCCAACTTGAGCGAAACCGCCTGCTTTCTAATGAGCTGAAGCTAACGCTGCATGATCTATGTGACTGATGGGCAGGGCTCACTGATGCCCATAAAACCGAGCTTACGGCTCACACCACTGACCTGGACCCCAGCAAAAAGCTGATTGTCTTTTTAAAGTTTTTATTTTGCCCTAAGCAAATTGCTTTTTAATTGAAACAGTTAGAATAGTGTTGTCTTCCTAACTGCACTGTAAAGTGGGAACAGTTAAAATTAATACTGCCTTTCTGCTCTTTTCAAGAGATTGTGGGTGATGAAGGGAGGGACCTGAGAGATTATAATGAGGAAATCTGGGAGAGTTTTCTGTTTTCCACCCTTATTTGCTGCTCTTTCACTTGTGCACTGACTGTAGGATATGTTCCTTGCATGAATGTTTTCTAACAAT